GAAAACTCCCCACCTCGGTCGGAGTGCAGACGCAGAACAGGAAGGTCGGAGCCGAAACTCTCACTGAGCTGGCGACGAGCACCGCGGATCCAGTCGATCAACACCTCAGGAACCTCACCCTTGCTGCGCAAGGGGAAGACTGTGGTGTAATGCGAGTAGTCGTCAACGACCAGGAGGAAGTAGCGCTCGTGACCCTGTCCACGGACGCGGGCTGGGCCCCACACGTCCATGTGAAGAGTCTGCAGAGGAGCCTCAGTCGGAGGAAACGAGGAGGAGTGAGGGGCGGCACGCTGTCGGCCCTCGACACACGGAACACAGGTGGGGGCAGGCCCCGGAGGAAGGGGAGGGAGGGACCTGGGTAGACCCGAGACAAGGGCACGGGAGGCCATACCTCGAAGACGAGGCAGGGAGGGGTGACCAAGGCGGTGGTGCCAAAGGAGAGTCTCGTGTGCCAGAGGACGACACGAGCAGGGGGCAGACGCAGGACTAGACCTGGACGCGGCAGCTAACACCTGACTGGACGCAGCTACCTGACCAGACGCAGAGACCGGAGGAGGCGCAGTAGTCAGTGTGTACAGACTCGACCCTGGCCGACGGGTGAACGTGGCCAGGTGGCGGCCCGTCCGAGAGCAAGTGCAGTGGGTCACACGCTGACCTCCAGGGGTGAACTGGTCAACCCATGCGTCCTGGAGGTCAGCTCCACTCACCAGGTTCGTAGAGAACGAGGGGAGGTGGAGTCCCGACAGCAAGCCCGACGGGGTTGCAGGACACGGTAGGAGAGTGGAGGAGTGTGCAAGTACTGGGCCCCCTGAGGGGTCAGCAAGGGAGACCGCAACAGGCCGACTGAGCGGCGTGAGCGTGGTGCTGTCTCTAAAGAAAGAGCGCGAAGCACCAGAGTCAAGTGTGAAAGTGTGAAAGGACGCAGTAGGTGTAGTACCAAAGAGAGGAGAAGTACCAGCACCTGGAGCAGCAGACGCACTAGCACCTAGAGCAGCAGCCGCACAAGCACCTGGAGCAGCAGACGCACTAGCACCTAGAGCAGCAGCCACAGTGCCCGGGTCGGGCGGGACACGCAGGTAACAGTCACCCTCAGTAATATCAGCAAGAGCATACATGGCAGCAAGGATAGCATCAAAGTCTAGATCAAAGATAGGCACATTCTGCAGAAGCAGATCATGCCAACGAGGAAGCTCAACAGCGTCAGGAAACTGGGTACGCCAGGCGTCAGTCAAGCGGCCGAAGCAGCGCTGCGTGGTGTGTGGGAGACCACACACCTCCCCACTACGAGTGCCGGTGCGAAGAACGTACGTGCAGGGACCTGCACCCCCAGACCTCCCACGCCCAGCGTACCACTCACGAAGCTGCTATACAGACGGGGTCTCACGGGTGCGCAGCTGCTGCTGACGCTGGCTGCCACCAATGCCTCCACGCTGCGTGGCCGCACCGCGACCAGCACCACCTCCTCCGCTAAATCCACCACCGCTGCCGCTGCCGCCACCTCTTCCGCCACCGCCGCCACGGCCTCCACTGCCGCCACCGACGACCCCACTCCCGGAACCACCCCCACCACCACCTCCACCTCCTCCACCTCCTCCACCGCTGCCTCCAGCGCCCCCTCCACCACCCTTGCTTCCCTTGCCCTTGCCAGTGCGGCGTCGCCCACTAGGGGCAGTAGACGCAGCGCCGACCTCCTCAGTGCCAACGAGGTCGACAGCAGCAGCAGAGGCAACAGAGGGGAGAAGGGGGACAGGGGAACACCCCTCAAAGAAGGGGGTGCGACGGTCGCCGCGAGAAGCATCGACAGCTAAGATACTCTTCTCAGCTGCAGCAAGGCTCTCCTCTAGCAAGTCGACAGTCAGCTCGGTAGGGCAAAGGGAGAGGAAGTGATCCCTGACTGAGGAGAGAGAGTCAGGGAGGCGGGTGACTAGGTAGTAAAGGGTGATGTACATGGGGGGGGAGTTCGTGGGAAGAAACTCAGTGGGAAGGGCAGCGCGGTAGCGAGCGTCACTAGTGCGGAGGTGAGCAACTAGGTCAGCAACTGTGGCAAAGGCGGCAAGGTCAGGAAAAAGGTACGGCAGCATGAGGCGGCTGAGGGCAGCAGTGGTAGGGGAGGAGTAGCGTGCAACTACAGCGTCGTACAGAGCCCTAGCACTCTTGTACTGACTAAAGTGCGCGCGCTCAGTAGACGGCAGGTGATTACGCACAGCAAGACGAGCAGCAACATCGCGCGTGAGCCACTGCGAGCGAACAGTACTGTCAGCATCAGCAGCAGGGGCAGTAGAGGCGCCAGACGTGAGATCGAACAGTGAGAGGCCATCCTTGCTATCGCACTGTAGGAAAAGCTGCAGATCATCTAGCCAGACCTCAAAGTCAACAGCTCGACCCTCAGCATCAAAGGTAAGAACATTGAGACTAGCCATGACAGGAGCAGCAGCAGGCTAGCAGCAGCAGCAGTGCAACTCGGCAGGGCAGGCTAGGCAGGGCGGCGCGGCTCGGCAGGGCGGCGCTCTTACCAGTGGCGAGGCCGGGGCAGGGCCGGGGTAGGGCCGGGGCCGGGCCGCAAAAGATCCGGGGCCGGGTTGGGCAGGGCCGCGACAGTGCAGGAGCAGGGCAGGGGCAGGGCCGGGGCAGGGCCGGGGCAGGGTCGGAGCAGGGCCGGGGCAGGGGGCAGGGCCGGGGCAGGGCCGGAGGAGGGCCGGGGCAGGGGCGGGGCAGGGCCGGGGCAGGGCCGGGGCAGGGCCGGGGCAGGGCCTGGGCAGGGCCGGGGCAGGGTCGGGGCAGGGCCGGGACAGGGCCGGGGCGAGGCCGCGACAGGTCCGGGGCAGGGCCGGGGCCGGGCCGCGGCAGTGCAGGAGCAGGGCCGGGGCAGGGCCGAGACAGGGTCGGGGCGAGGGCCGGGGCAGGGCTGCAACAGTGCCGGAGCAGGGCCGGGGCAGAGCTGCGACAGGGCCGCAGCAAGGCCGGCGCAGGGCCGCGACAGGTTGGGGTAGGGCTGGGGCAGGGCCGGACGGGGCCTTACGGGGCCTGACAGGGCCTGACGGGGCCGCTAACGGGGCCTGACGGGGCTGTACGGGGCCTCTAACGGGGCCTGACGGGGCCTTACAGGGCCTGACGGGGCCGCAAACGGGGCCTGACGGGGCCTGACGGGGCCTTACAGGGCCTTACGGGGCCTAACGGGGCCTTAAACGGGGCCTGACGGGGCCTTACGGGGCCTTAAACGGGGCCTGACGGGGCCTTACGGGGCCTTACGGGGCCTTAAACGGGGCCGTAAACGGGGCCTTGCGGGGCCTTACGGGGCCTTAAGGGGCCTTACAAGGCCTTACGGGGCCTTACGGGGCCTTAAACGGGGCCGTAAACGGGGCCTTACAGGGCCTTACGGGGCCTTACGGGGCCTTACGGGGCCTTAAACGGGGCCGTAAACGGGGCCTTACGGGGCCTTAAACGGGGCCGTAAACGGGGCCTTACGGGGCCGGAAACAGGGCCTGAAACGGGGCCTTACGGGGCCTTACGGGGCCGGCGCTGGCTCTAAGGGCAGGCGCAGGGGCCGCTACGGGCCTCGAAGGGCAGGCGCGACGCGCGCGTCGAGCAGGTAAGAAAAAATTCAGTGGTGGGCCCTTTTAAAAAAAAACTCGAAACTAGCTCTATACCATGTGAGATAATTGACGAAAGAATGAATGAACTAGAAACTGAGATGGGTACAAGTAGAAAACACAAGTGTTGTACCCTCTAAGAGCTACCCCACTACAGCCTAAATAGACTATAGCAGATATAAGTTTGACAATAGGCGCCGTCCGATTAAAGGCGTCGGCACTTCTATCTGGAGCATGGCGCTTATGGCCGGAATTCGATTATAAGCGCCCCCCCTGTAAAAGACTGACATATTATAAGCGCATGCAAATTTTATTTTTCAATGCTGATAAAAGCGGTTACGAATTTCAATTTTCTAGCGAGTTTACCCCCCCATTTTCATTTTGTTTAACTTTCGAGGACCTACTGGTTGCGCGTCCAGTCAGTATGAGTTGGCACGCTGGCAAAATGACGTGTCAAAGCTCTGTGCACCGTCAGAAAATCGCTCTCGCGCGATTCTGATTCAGGACCCTGTAAAATTTCGATTCGATTCAACTTACGAGACTGAAATGTACAATTTGGTGCGTTTAAGTTGTATTTCTGTATTTGTCGTTATATAAGCGCCGGCGCTTATGGCCGATATTCAATTACAAGTGCCCCCCTTAAAAAAAAAACTGATTTTTTTATAAGCGCATATGCGCTACTATTCGGGGTAATACGGTAATAGCAATGCATAGATCGCGTTATATAGGAATTACAAAGGGGAAAACGAAACGTCCTAGCTAGCCATGTACTCTAAAGGGTACATTCCCTAATTGCAGCGAATTCAAACTGTGCGGCGCGGGAACCCGTTTGAAACCTGTTCCCGCCTTTTTCACTTCAAATGTTTCTGGCTGCATCGGTCTTTATCCTACGGTTCCTAGTGTCGCGTCGACTCTTCTGACTCCTCGACTTCGTACTCGGTAAGATTGGCTCCTTGTAGCGTATAGAAATGCTTTTCACAAAAGTTCGTATCTCAACAATAGGGGTTTATATTATTTTAAGGCGACGTCGTTAACATTAATTGTATAACACGGACGCCAACCTTATGGAACATGAACATCCCAGTACTAAAATTTTGATTCTCTTTAGTTTTCCAAAGAAAATTGACGCGCGAACGAGAGCCGTTCAGAACCAGTAAAAGATGAAATATAGGTTATTAAACATTGATTTTTTCCTGTTACTATATCGGAAAAAACAGTTACAAAGTGCCGTTCTTTGCGCGAAACATCCTACAGCGCGTAGTTTTCCATCCGTCACGACCTCCTCTTGTTGACAACCACCATTCCCATCCCAGGCTCTGGCGGAGGCAGCTGTCAATTCGCCAGACAGGCCTAGAAATAAGTGTTGGGCGGCGATAAGTTGGCCGGGCAGCGTGTGAGTCGCGAATCGCG